TCTCCTGTGCATCTCCCACCCCCACCACATCATCTCCCCCATGTTCCCCTTGCTGAGAGCCCCCTCCCCCACCACACAAGCCCATGCAGCCTGAGGTAGGCAGCAGCTCAGTCCTGACTGGCTCTGGGCTAGGGCTAAAGCCATTGCTGAGCTGCTGCCTGTTCTGAGCTGGTACTTGAATCTAAGGTTGGGTTCTCTCTCGTGTTGACTGGGGGCAAAAACCATATCTTGGATTGGAATAAATACTGTATACCATTACTCCTAACTTTCCTCCTTAACTTACTCTGGAGTGGAGTAACTGACACCAGTATATAACTGTACATTGTGTATCTGATCCACATTTACACTGGTATGAATGCACACTACACTGGAAGAAATGTGTTGCTACTAAATCCTGAGCATGACAGCAAGAACCAGAACCCACAACTTACCTTTCCAGGGGAGTATCTTCATCAGTGGACTCATTTGTTCTCCATCTGACCCTCTGACTTTCATTCCTGACTCAGTGACCCAGTTTCAACATGAAGGTTGGAAAGTGTCCCCACCTAGCCACATCTATGCCTTTGTAATTAAGGCACTTATGTGGGACACAGGCAAGGGCAGATCCAGGACTGGCAAAGGGGGGTGAGGGAGCAGTCACTCATGCTGCAGGGGTGGCTGCATCCCCACTACCAGCAGCCACTCTGCCCCCCACAATCCACTGGTACAGGCAGACTGCACTGTGGAAGCCTCCTGAATTAAGTTCCCAAAGCAGTAGAGAATTCTCTTCCCCTCCCCTCCATGCTCAAAGCCACATCCCCCTCCCCTCCCCTGCTCTCCACCTACCACTGCCACTTTCTCTGCTGTCCAGCCGATAAGGACAGCCTATCACCTGGACAGCCTATCGCCTGGACTTCAAAGCCATGCTGGCCCACTCCAACCAGGCAGCCTGGGGGCTGGGCTCAGCTGGGAACAGCAACACCAGGAACAGCAGCTGCAGTGGGTGGGTAGTGGATTATCCCATCCTTCCCAGTCCCCTGGGAGCTGGCATGGGGAGGGGGAACCCACCCTACCACCTATTCCCTGCTGCTGCTGCTATTCCCAACTCCCATGCAGCTAGAACAGAAAGGAGCAGTTTTGAAGCATTCCCCAACCCTGGGACTACAGGGAAAACAGCAGTGACAAGTGGGGGGAATGGACAGGGGAAGGGACACTCTTGTGAGCACAATGGGGAAGGTGGGAAATCCTTACATGCTTTGGGAGCTTTAAAGAAGCCCCCAGAAGCTCCTGCAGCATGGTCTAATCTTGGGGGGCGGGGGTGGAGTCTGGATCCACCCCTGGACATGGGAGATACAGGGTTGAATCTCTTCAGACTCAAGAAGGCTTAGAACCCAAGCACTGAGAACCTACTTCCTGAGTGATTGCCCTACCCATAAAGCTACTATGCAAAAGGTGGCCACTATCACCCTGCCATGTTTTTGAGTAAGAGTCACCACAGCTACTCTGCTTTATACCAAACTCAGTGTTGCCAATGTGAGTTAGGTGCTCTGTATGTACCTAGATCAAGCCTCTGTGGGATTTCTGTAGGGTTTTGGTACCTCGCTAGCTCTGAATGAGACTGGAGCAGTGTTTAGGCAGACACAAGGTGCCCAGAAGCTCAAGATAGATTGCTTCTGAACTTCACAAACATCCAAGGTTCGGTATCTAGGGAGTTTTCCAAGTAAATTTAGGTGCCTAAGTGGTTTTGCTGCTGCTGCAGTGGAGTTGATCTGGATCACTTTGTGACTCAAAATCCTAAATTCTGCTTAACTCCCATTTAAGAGCCTAATCTACATCTGAATCTGGCCCATAGCAACCCTAGTCTAAAGGCACAAACAGAAATGCAGCTCCCCAGTCTAACTCATTACGCTTTATAGAAAGCACCATGAGTTAGACCAATCCTCCTGACCCAACAGATGTTAGCTTTTTTAAGCTGATCCAGAGAGAGAAGCTGCATCTCTGCAGCCTCTTCCCCTAGCTCTGTCCCACCTCTCCCAGCCACCAGTGGTGTCAGCATGGCAGGGGGAGAAGGCAAGTGAGGAAGGTCCATTTTAGGGTTTGCAGTGGTTTGAGGGGTGGACTGGAGCCCCCCCCAAATCAGGGGTGTGCCTGTCTAGTGCTGGCTGGGCATCCCTCAGAATGAGCTCCCTCTGCTCCCTTCCCCACCTCCCATTCTGAAAACAGCACCGGGAGCAGGCCTGGGCTGACGCAGTCCAGGCCTGCTCCCAGTGTGCACAGACACAGATTACTTAAGGTGCTCCGCTTTGGTTCAGATTATTGCAGGATCAGGCCCTTTTAAAGTGCTCTGCAGCCATGCACTCATGTTAGGTCATGGATGTAGACCACTTTCTGGGGCCAGATTGAGCAAAATTTGTCACTTCTGTCTGTGCCTTAACATTACTAGATAAAGAAGGAAAATAAATTATGTTTGGTGAACAAAGTCTTGCTTTCACTCAGAAAAAAAGCTTCAGTCAACTAACACATGCCTTTTCTACCCTAGGATTTCACCATCTGATTGTTACCATCTAGTAAAAGACAGAGAAGCAAACAAACCTTTTCCTTAGTGTGGAAACAAAGTAACAAGGTCTGTTAAGCAGTTCTGGGTCTTCTATAGTAAAAACATGCCTCAAGTGAATACTCACTTCCCCTCTGGAGGTATGCGGCCACTCCCCAGTATTTCATCTTGAATTTGGCAGGATCTTCAGTGTCAGTGAAAGAACCAATCATGTCAGCACATATGTCCCAGTTACTGCAGCCAGGAAGAAACAAAAATATGATCAATTCAAATGTGACAACCTAGACTTGGGTTCCATGAACACATGGTCTCAGGAGTAGGAGCAGAAATGAGAGCAAACCAGAAGCACAGGGAGATAGAGAGATAGAAGAGAAAGAAAAGGGAGGATGCTAGGGAACTGACTTGAAAAGTCGGACTCTGCCCTTTGCAGTCGCGCTCATCTGCCCGTACTCATCTACAGAAAACTCGGCTACCACATTATCTTGCAGAAACAGCCCTTCAGGGTCTTTCTTGGCCATGGCGTACCAGATGCCGCTGTACTACAGGGAAAAGAGAGAGGTTCTGGTGAGGCTTGGTGAGCATGGGAAGCAGGTAAAAAATGGATTTATGTGGATTATGCAGGATGAACCCTTCTGATCTTTTACCCTAAGGGTTGCACACAGCTATTGTCCACAATAAACAAAAAAATTACAGTCACAAGTTACAAGCAAGCAGACATCCTAGCCCCTTGCATATTTGGGCACTTGGTGCCCAAATATGCTGTTATGACTGACGGTAGTTCTAGTCTGTGATGCCTTATAGGGGAGGACACCTATTTGCTTATTAAGCACACCCAGCAATTCCCCTTCAGGGGATTCCCATGGTGCCTGCATCAGGCTGCCTCCCCCCAACTCAGGGCATGTGTATCATACTGCCAGGCTTCAACATAGGCACAGGTCTGCAAGCGAGGGAACCCTGACTGAAGCGGGGACCCAACACAGCAGCATAATGGCCCCAAATAATGTCTGTAAAAACTAATGAAATGGCCCCAGACAATGTCTGTAAACACGAATGAAGCGGAACAACTGTGCCGGGACACATCCCACCACAGATGATCCTGCTCCAAAGATAACATCTGTTTATACCCTTTGTGTTCAACTGTACCCTTGAAACAGAGAACAAGTCCAGCTGCTCCTACAGTACAAAAACATCAACGCACCCTGGAGCACAGGCACCACAAAAACCTGGATCTGCCATCTGGCTCTTCCTAGATTCAGTTAGTTGCAAGCCAGTCTTTTGTAATGATGAAACAGGAACAACTTTATTTCTCCCCTTAACTAATAAAAGCGTTTACTCTGATATTTAATACTAGAAGGATCCTAAAAGACCCACTGATGAGTCTGGGTTTTCATAGGCCAGTTTGCAGCCGGGTCTAGAGATTTTGATGAACTGAGAGCAGCTGGAATTTTTCACTTCCTCTAGTGCTATCAGCCTACGACGCATGAGGTCCTTTTCCTTCCAACAGATCCCTGGGGCAGTCACACTCCCTCCTCTGCTGCTTAGAGTTTACTGTTTGGAGCCCAAAGGTGCGAAGAGCCCAAGGCCCAAGCAGGTTTTTTGCACCACCCCAGAGCCTGGATCCAGACGCGTGGGTACAGCAGAAGTGTCCGACTTAGGTTAGGTCTGACAGCCTGGGTCTAGCTCGGAAGGCCCCGCAGGGGAGCCGCGGGCGGCTGGAAGCTCGGGAGGCCGGAGCGGGCAGGAGCAGGGCGGGCGGGCAGCACCTACGCGAGCCTTGTCGAAGTTGTCCTGGACCCTGAAGCCGCTCACTCTGCAGTCCCGCTCGGCTCGGCCCCCGCCCGG